TAAAGCTGCACTGGGGCGTCAGTCAGTCCTGCTGTCCTATGGATGGAGCAGCACTACGAATTGCGGGAGTCGGGAGACCTGTCTCTATTCCCTGAGGGACCCTAGGCAGGTGCATACGAGCTGCAAGCGTTCAGCACTATTAGATGCAGGTTCAAGTAGTCCCTAAGCAGGCATCAGGTATCGGAGTTCATTTCTGAAACAGTGGTCCTAGCCGTCATTGCTTCAGCTGCTTCTTGGTTTAATAAGGGGCTAGCAATGCTGCCTTCATGAATTGCTGTGGAAGAAGGAGCCTGCATTAAGCCATGATTTGGGTCGAGTAGGTTTGCTGCCCTGCTCTGACACAGACTTTTTCTGTGTTCTCTGCCCTCTGTCGCGTAGTCCCTCTGTACCTTGGTTCTGCATCGATGAAGTAACAACAATGATCCTTTGTTCCTGCTGTAAACGAATGCTGTGTAGATGACAGACAAGGCTGTGAGGCACTGAGATGCTATGGTAACAGCTGGATAAGTATCAAAGATGAATGAAAATTGCTTTAGCGCTGCCGTTATTTGCTGGGAGATGAGATGCCCTATTTCCACTTTCCAGGTGTCCTTTGCATTAAGATTTGCCCATATATTATAAAAAGAAATCCCAGTAACATTAACCAATGCACATAACAGGCTACGTGAATATTGGTAGCAGGTATCAATGAGCCTAATTAGAAAGGTACTTTCCTTTCAGGTTAGGACTCTAAACTAGGGACCTTTATTAACCCTGCAGCAGTCCACCTCTTCTCAGCATACTGAGCAGGCCATCAATGAAAAGATACCAGTTTGTTAAACCAATACTGTAACTAGTTGTAATTATACTTGCTGAAATGCGAAGCCATCCTGCAGCAGGGCATACGTAGTTCGCATGATTTAAAGTCATTACTGACTGCTCAGGGCACTTTTCTGCAGACACGTGCCAAACCACAGTGAAAGCAGGGAGTTAGCCATGGAACTGCTATTTAGTAAGTGGCTCTTGCTTTTATCAGTGGAATATGGCACTGCAGACTGCTGCAGGCTTATGCTTGCCCCACCGGTCTGGCCAGCTGACACAGCGACAAAGCAGGGAAGTTGTCAGATTTCACCACAAAAGCTTACATGTGAATGCATCAGCACGGATGTCTTCCTACAGGTCCAGTCATTTCAGAGGAAAGTGCGCAACACCCTCTGCAATTGCAGGATTATTTAACCAGGGAAAGTTTTTCCTTGCCCTGCCGGTGGAGGACTGATGTATCTTGAGGCAGAGAGGTCACTATCCCTTCTAAAGCATCCAAATTGTTAATCAATTTTCAGAGTAAGAAATGGTGCTCATCTGGACGTACCATGTAGTGTTCATTCCACAGCTTTGGCAATTCCTATTTCCCACTTGCTTGACTTGTCCCAGACATGTGTTTGCATATAGTCAGATAATAGTTGCCGATTGTTTCTTTTTCTCCAATTGGCTTTCCAGTACCAGGGGAAAAAGATAAAAATCTACCGCAGGATGGGAAGGGAAGGGAACTAATCACTTAACAAGACCTAATTAGCAAGGGATTTTCACAGGGAACTCCTCCCGGAGTAATTGCTAGTCATTTTCAGCTGTGAATACAGGAAGACAAAATAGTTTTAAGATGCTTAATCAAGTCCTTGCAAAATACTGCTAGCACCCAGTAGCTGAACCATACTTGATATGGGCTTGAGCGGGGAGGGTGAAAAGAAGGTATTTACAAAGAGTTCTTGAAAAGCTCGCTAAGTATCTAATGAGACAGATTTCCTCTAGCAGCTCTCCCAAGACCTATTTTCTGGTCCTTTGGTAAACATTCAAAAACCAGCAGAGCGGTTTCAGCAGCTGCGTTTTTGAGCAAGTTTCTTTCTTCTCCACTTGGTGGGGAGAATCCTTCTGGACAGAAAACACCATCGCAAGATGCTTTAGGACTGCAACCCAGGAGTCATGGGGAGCAGCCTCCAGTCTGACTGAGCCTGTGGGTAATCCTGAGCACAGAACAGTGCTGGGGGAAAGGACAGGAGTCTGCTGTCCTGCAGTAGAAATAACGTATGCATTGCACCTGGAGCATAAATGCTGCAACAGCTGCGCACAGAGCTTGAGAGCTGGGTTTTGTCTGCTCTGACCCCAGGTCTCGAGTATCTGCTCAAGTTTGTCTAACTTGCACACCAAAGAGGCTATTTTGGAGTGCCGGGCAAGGGCTACTGAAGGATTTGCCTCCAGCACCTCCTGCCCTCTGTGCTCATCTTGCAGGTGCTAGATGCTGCTGTGTACAACCGTGTCTCTGGAGCTAGAACACAGACCCATTTTCTTTTGAAATATCATGGTCTGAATTGAATTAGCACCAGGACTGCTCCTGTCCTAGCACGGACCACCCTCAACGTGCCAAACAGACAGAGGCAATTGTGGGGCTGTACAGCGTCAGGCACAACAGAGCCACTGACAGTAGCCAAAAGATTTGTGCTTGCTTACTGATAAAACAAGATATCTCACCTTTAAAATATTTTATTTGTGCTTCTACTCCCTGCAGAACAAACCCAGCAGTATTACAGCTGCAAAAGGCATGTGTGCTCTTGCAGCTCATGACTCTAATCCTGTGAGCGACTTACTCTGTTAGCATGATAAACACATGCTGTAGAGGAACGGCACTAATTATGACCCTGTCACCTTCATCAGCTCCCCACTAATTGTTTTGGCTTTTTTTAATCTCAGTGCTTAGAGATGAAACATGATGTTTGGTTCTGCAAAGGAGTTGAAAAGAAAAGAGAAGAAAGACTTGCATTTTAAAATAGAAGCATCAGGTAGATCTTTCTGTTGGATTTGAAATTCAAATGACAGAAATTATAACTATTTTTTGTGTTATTAAAATAAGGCACGGGAAATTTTTAGAGGACTTTCTGGGACTGTCCATGCTGCCTGTCAGTCCACTGATCCACCTTGTTTTGGGCTCACATAATGCTCCCAGCCCAGAAGAAGGGTTCTCTGTGTCATGTCATAATAAAACTTTCCCAAATCTCTCCAGGCATTGTCAGACAGCTCAGAAACCTCACTGGTAATAACTCGCTTCCTAGGTTTTGAGGATGAAGGGTGAGACCTCCTTGTCATGAGCTCTGTGGATCTTGGAAGAACAAGGATTAGGATTCAAGCCTGCAGGCTGCAGGAAAAAACATGTATTTTGGTCCTCCAACACCCTAAAATAGCAAGTTAATGGAACAGTATCTGAATTTTCTGCTGGACGTTTCTTGAGTGATGTGCAGCTGTTCAAGCCTATCTAACACCTATGCGCAAGCAAAAGACCAAATACCTCACAAAGTAAAAATCAGTACTAAGATTTATTTAGGGGTGACACTCGCACTCAAAAATCTTCCCAGGTGCCCTTTGGAAAGATCTGGATACGAGAACAGTCATCTCACCACAGTGGGCAGATTCTGTCGCTGTACCAAAACCAGAGTGTAAACATGCCAGTGGTAGCCCTTATATTGACTTTCATGGTTCAGAAATGTTTTGAAAATGATCTGTAAGATTTGTATGAAATAAGGGAACTCTGAAAACTGTTAGCAAATCTTGCAGGGTGTTATTCTGTCTGGGGATAGCCCTCGAGGCAGAGATTTTCAGCCACTTGACTATGGCAATGAGAATGTTACTGCCACTGTGAGAGCAGCAACGTTTCCAAAGCAGCTGAGTGCAGTATAGATCACTCTATAGTAGTGCTCAGCTCTTAGTAGAAAGCTTTACACGGAGTGAAGTTGTTTTCATTTTCAGCTGTTCCGTGGTTTGCTCATCTGGGAGTTTGTTTCCTTTTTTCTGGATGAATCTGCAAAATACTTTACGTCATGTCAAGGCTTTAACTTGTGTTCTGGTTTGTTTTATGCAAGTCTCTAAAGGCACATTGTAGCTACAGTTGGAGAAATCCATAGATATCACCCAGCGCTCCAAAGAGCTGCTGCGGAAATGTGTAGCGTTTGTAAGAGCCATATGGCAAGATGCATGTGCAGGGCTTTCAACGCCTGCCTTATCAATGCCACTTCCTCAGCCGCCTACGAGCTCCCTCTTATGTGACCACCTTTGTCAGCACAGGCAGGCATGAAAGGTGCTGTTCTGCCTTCTCCAGGGCAGGCGGCAGGGCCCAGTAGACAGGATGGAGAAGGTGCCCACCTGACACAGACCTGCCGTGGGACCTCCTCCACTTCAGCTCTCTGCATCTCTGCTTCTCTAACCTTTTGGTCTGCCTTGACCATTCAGGCTTTAAGTTCCCTGGAAGAGGAGCCTGTCTCTCTGCATCTGCCCACCACAGCAGCATTTCTGTGGTCCCTGTCGTAAGACTTAGTGCGGCACATTGACTGTTCCTTACTATGGGGCAAGCTGAATGGGGGGATACCTTTCTTCTCCAAGTTTATTGGCAAACAAACATTAATCGTGATTTGAAGGTGCCTTGCAAGGCTCCTTACTGACAATTTTGTGTCCTCATCCTTTGTAGCCATTGAGCATTGCTTTAATGTATAGGAGTGCACCCCCATGACAGTGGGGTTTCATTTGCAAAGAGCAGCAGAGCAAAAATATCAGAGCAAGGCATGGCGCTCTCCACCCCCGCCGGACTTAGTGTGGCAAACGACTTAATTGGTATGTTCAGGTCTTGGTACAAACACGCATATGAAAAAAGTGCTGAGATGTCCATAAAGAAATGAAACCAACTATATAAATAATGATGAAAGGCATAACTGTAAACCTCCTGCATGAAGCCAAGCAGTCTAGGGCCTGATTTCCCATGGCTGCCTTGAATAATTTCCACGAGCAGTTTCTTCAGTAGCCTATGAAAGAAAATCAGCTTGGTAAGTGAACGCATTGTTATGCAATTGTACGTGTTTCTATTTTACCACATATTTATAATCAAGAGGAAATGTTTATGCCTACTGAACTTTGCTTTGCAAAAACCTCTTGCCGAACTTGTAGCAGAGTTACCATTTTCAGAAACACTTCCCTCTAAATGGAGGATGATAGAAGAACACATGTCCTTTCCCATCGATCTCATAGTCTACAACCAGGGGAGCTTTGGCAAGAAGAGGGACAAAGACGGTAACGTGTGAAAACAGGCTCTGCTAGTTCTGCTGCTCTCAGACTATTTGTTACATGCAGGACTGAGACCGGTTATTTTTAGCTATCGCAAGGTATGCAAACAAAGGAATATCAGGATGTTGACCGGGAATCAGGAGATGTGTCTCTGGATCCAAGTGCAGAGGATCAGCCTGTGTTTCATGTGAATTGGGGTGGTTTGGAGGCAGAGTCATGCATATACATGATTTGCTCTGCAACTGACGCACAGCAATCAAACGCAAACTCATTTATATTTTAAAATCCGGACTTTAATTGCCAGCCCACGTTTCTCTGTGTGTGTAGGCAAAAGGGAGAACTCTTCACCCAGCTGCGTTTGGATGCTGGCTTTTGGGAGGGAAAGAATTGCTAAGAGCTGCCTCCATCCAAGGCTGAAGCTCTTTTTGCACAAAGCCTTGTGCAAAAAGTCTCAAGCCTAAAGGGGGTTGCTATCTTCCAGGAATCATCTTCCATCTAGCTAATCCCCTTGCTCAGACCATGAGCTATTTTGTCACGCCTCTAACTTTAAATACAGATTCACTGGCCTTTCTCGCTCCAGTTGCTATCCCAGGCGACCTCGCCTTAAAGTTTTATACTCAATTTTCCAATCTTTAAGTCCCGCCACACACGGATGCATTGCCCTTCCTAGTCACATGTTAAAGTATCATTCATCTCCTCTCTGTCACACACGTGCGCACGCACACACACCCTTTTACTTCTTCCTCCAGAGACTCAGACTTCCTGCATTACGCAGACAAAGCTGGTTTCATGAAGCCGTTCTGCTAGGACCTGCATGACACGATGTCACCATCACCTCACACGGCCCAGCTCGAAACCTGTCAGAATCGTATGAAACCCCAGGTCCACAGGCTTGAGTTGTGTGTCAGTAACATGAGAGGGAACTTACAGACCCCGAGAGCAAGGGAGAGATCGAGTCATTCATGATTTACCATAAGGGGAAGGTTTGGAGATGACAGGAAACTGTGATAATGTGGGGGGAGACCTTGTCAAAGACTGATTACTAGAAAAGCGAGAGAAATAGGGCCATTCAGAACATCATCTGCATTGTTAGTGCAAGAAGAAGTTCATTCTGCCTTGGGGCTCAGCTGGTTTTCAGTCTAATAGCAAGAGATGGGTGCATTTTCAAAGTGTTTATTAAACATTTAAATCCTTCTGGTTTGGTCAGTATTTCACTGGATTAGCAGAAACTTCTATACCCTGGGATCACTGGTGTTTGTAGGTAGCCTTTTAACCTTTGTGAGTTTAATATCTCGTTTTTCTGTGCAAGTACCTGCTTTCTCTCTGAGATGCCATCTGGTGCCAGTAGCCTGGCTAATGTGTCTGCTGTGCAGGCACTCAAGGAAATGCAGTAACTGCTCCAGCACTCCGGTGCATTTCTAATTGTATATCCCTTTGCTGATCCAGCCTAATAGTCACGTGTTAACACCAGATACAGCAGTGGAAATCTCTCTCTTGCCGCATGTATTGTTCGTAGCGGGCCTTTTTCTCAGAAGAGCTGAAACATAATTGACTGAAATCTTCCAGCTGCTTTGGTGCATTTCTGCCAGGCGCTGCCGGAGATTTCAGCCTTTTCTTTCCCACACCACAGCCAAGCTCTTTATGACGTTTTCTTTTCATTTCCTCCTCAAAAGCTTAAGGACTGTCCTTCCACTTGCTTGGCATGGCAGATACTGAAAAGAAAAATCAGAACGACATAAAAAATGTATGTTAAAATTCCCTGTCTGAGTGAAGTTCAGCACTGCTGAGTGCGGCAGAAATGAAAGGAGGGTGATCTCTGTGATATGGCTCATTAACGAATGGCAATATCCTTACCTTGTTCCTTTCTTTCTAAAATCAAATTAGAAGTGAATTGTTATACAAACTGGCAGAATGGGAAGGACAGATGAAGCTCAACACTGAGCAGGCCTGGTGCTTATATTGGGACTGTGCCTTACAGGCAGAAAGTTAGGAGCTCTCCTAAACTGAGCAGGTGCTGCCTGGGGAAGCCTTGCACAAGCACTCACCTCTTATCGATATACTCGTAAGCCACTGTCTTGTACAATTACACAAAAGAATCTTTAAATCTACAAAGGAGTGAAACAGCAGTCATTCAGGTGCCAGATCTCATCTTTCAGGCTTGTGGAGGGATGTTTATCTAGGGAATTTTATTTTTTAGCTCAAAAATTTTCCTTTCATTTTTGATGGGTAATCCAGGAGTGGGGAAAGAGAAGAGCCATTCATGGTTTTTTGGCCATCCCAGGCAAAACCAGCACAAATAACAAAAGCAAGCTTCCAGGCGAGCAGGGCACTTTCCAGAGATCCGGGAGTTGCTTTCATACAGGGCTTGGCCGGAATCACCTCCAGTAAATGAGAAAAAGGGCTTTTGCTATGCACCATTTTTAGTAAAATTGATCCTTCTTCTTGACAAAGATCGAAGAAATCGAATCTGGATGGGGAGATACTGTGAGTCTTGTTCACTCAGATTAATTCCACTCACCTAATTCCCCATGGAACCTGGCGGCACTATTTCATCCATATGGAAAATAATGCCCGGTAAAGCCACCTATAGTTATGCAGCTTCCTGCACTGGGATGATGGAAGCTAATTCCACATTTCCTATAACTTCTGTTTCATTGCCTTTGGCAGCCAACCAGCAAAGCAAACGAACTGTCCTCCGATAGATTTTCTAAGAATAAATTTCTTGTTCTGTCTCTGACTAAATCCAGTTTACTGCCCTGAAGTAAACTCACTGTGAAGCCATCTAGAGGTAAAGGAGATATACTTCACACGTCCATGATTTTAGATGAGGGTGGTAGAGCACTATTTTTACAGACGTCTACACTGGCAGTGGTGTTTGTCCTTTTGCCAACCTCTCTGACTGTACTGAGCAGCCCCTCTCTCGGGCAGCATGGCGGCCCTCGGTGCTCTCTCGGGCACCACTGAGCTTCCTTTCTCCTCTCCTGGTCTTGTGCTGGACTTGGTCTGGCCAAGCCGTAAGACAAGCGTTTAATTTTGAGGTCACGTATTTACATTTGTGAATGCGCTAGAGATTTTGCTGAACTTCATTCTTATGAAATGGCTCCCAATGGCTAGTAACATTACAGTGAGCACCTGAAAATTAACTGTTTAGTCACAGCCTAAACCGCAACCTGGACTTTTCTCTCTGGCTTATTGTTGATATTTCGGCAAAGTATCTGAGCTGCCTCCTCCCAGCCTCCTTCCCTCTCCCTGTTGGCTCCTGGCAAATTGATGTGGATCTGTTCAGCACCACAGGCAAGCCTCGGGGGGGAGGGGAAGATTAATTGAAGACTTAATTTCTTCTGTTTTCGTTTGATTAGCTAAGTGGAAGAGGCATGAGTCCCTGCTTATGTGCTACTGGAGGCCTCGTGTCAGCCATGAATCACAGCTCCCAGCTGCCACAGTCTGGTTGCATGTCAGGTTAATTATGATATCGTAGTAAATAGTCCTGCAGGCAGAGCCCATCAATTATAGCCCTCCACATGCAGCTGTACCCGAGACAGGACAAAGATGAGAAAAAGGAGCTCAGATAAAAGTGGGATGGGTCAGGGGTTTAGGAATGTCTCTGGCAGGAGGGTTGGGAGATAGGAACAGGTCTGAAGGGTCCAATTCTCCAACGGGCAGCAGCAGCCCGTTGGAGCCAAAGGAGCCAAACTCATTGGCCAGACTGTCAGGTACAGTAAATAAATCAAAGTTAGCAAGCAATCAATAAAATGAAATGTACTTGCACAGAGTCTTACAGGAAAGCTAAATAATCCCAAACGTGTGAGTGACCAGCAAACAAGGAAACAGACTTTCCTTCTCCTCAGTCTTGACAGCCTAACGTCAAGCTTTACTTACTGCCTTGGTACCACAATACCATCCAGCTCTCGCCCTTCCAGACTCTTGCAGATCAAAATTTCTTTTTGCGGCTTAATACTGTTCTATGAGCGCTTGAAACGAGTATTGGCCTAATCGATGCCCAGCTGAGACATCAGACAGCAGAGCAAAGCCATAAACATCACTACTGCATGCAGCGCGTGGTTTTCAAAATCTAGGGCTTTACTCAGTGCAACGTGAATACCAGAAGCCCTTAAATTTCCCCTTCCCCATTTTGCCACAGGCCACTCATTCTCTCTGTTAGCAAGTTTATGTTGATTTCTTTCTGGTTTTCATTGTTTTTATCTTAATTTTGGAGCCTGATACATCACACAAAATATCTTATTGGTGTTTGCTTAGAGTCAGATGAAGGGGCAATGACAAGATGCAGTGAGGAGTTACCATCAGCTTCCCTTTCGTCATTAATCCTGCAACTGAATCAATTGGTCACTAGCACGTTGCTAGCTTTTGACAAACTTCCCGCTGCACTCAGTCTCCTGAGCTGTGTCTCATGCCTGGGGTTGGCACTCTTAAAGGACACTTCCATTAAATTGACTATTTTCATCTTCCGTGCATTGCCCAGAATCTTCTGGCCGTGCTGGCCTGTGTATCCACTCCAGTGAGTGCTAAACATTTATTTTGGGCCCAGGAGGGAGCACAGGCCAGCCTCGGTTAGCTCAGTCTGATGACTGCAAACATACATGCGCCGTATGCCCATAGTATCAGCCATCCCTTATACAACTCTCTTAAAATACCAGCCACTGCAGCTCTCCATACCTCTCTGCCCTTCTGCACTGTGGAGTGCATGAACTGGTCATGCATCCCGGGAAAAAGATTTCCTAAAGGTTTATTTAAATCTGGCCACCAAAAGACCCTATCTGGTAACATTTTGCCCCCTGGAACTCCCTCCTGCCTCCTGTTTCGTCCATTCGCTTATGTTCCCTGTCAGCAGTGGGTACCTCACTGGAAGAGTGTTGCAACCGTCACTTGAATTCAAATTCTGGGGAGAGGCAATGAGCACATACAGCCTCCATCCCTGACGAAAAGGCAGGGACTCCAGCTGGTAAGAGAAATCCAGGCTGAGAGCTGCCTAAGGCTTTCTTGGAGAT